CATTTTGAGTATGGCAGAGTGGCTATTGATTATTTTAATATTGCATTATTCTAGATTCAAATAAAAATGGGAATTGGGTATGTTTTACACACATGCAGTACCTTCTATTTGTGGATTCCGCAGCTCATGGCATCCCAGCGCATGACTAGAATGCATACCACCACACTTGCCTAATTTGCACATAGAAATTGCCATACTCAATTGACACCCCCACTTACCTAACTGACCAGCAAACTATCTCAATTATGCACAATCTCATTCTTTCGCATTCAGCGAAATGACCTTGCCCTCACACTACACCTGCCTGCCTCACTCCTCCTGACTGTGAAACCATTGGACGAGTCAAGATGACAAGCACAGCCACAACAACAACAGGGAACTACTTAGCTACAAAGGTTGTATGTAGCAATAGCTGAAAGCATTCAGTAATATTGTCAATGAAGTTAATTTAGCTATAGATAGGTAGCTACCGCGCTAGCAACAAACTGGCTGCGAAAAGCACGTATATACATAATCTTACCTTGTACATCGCAAATGTAACCCCCGATCCAGTTACTGTAACCTTTTAGTTGGACTTCCTTGGGCAGTCTGACGTTTTCATCTGCCCATTTATCGATATAAGTCGATGTTATAGCCGGTAACAGTTTTAAACTAGGTGCACGTGACATTAAAACTTCAAACTTCAAATTTGAAAACCGAGAAGTCCACGCCATTGTTGTTTTGACTTCCAGGGTTCCCCCCTAGGATTTCCCACCTCAGCCTCGCTTTCGTTTCAAAATGGCGGCTGCGTGACTAAAGCGTATGGCTTTAAGCTATATTACCGTCATAATATAATAATATATGATATATGGCATTTAGCAGACACTTTTATCTAAAGCGACTTACAGTCAAATACATTTTACGTATTGGTGGTCCCAGGAATCAAACCCACTATCCTGGCATTGCAAGCGACATGCTCTACCTAATGGGCTACAGTGGACCACCATCAAATGGCCACAATAATTGAATGACACACAAGATTTGGTTCAGGACTCCATCACTGTAGGTGGCTGTGAATCACCAATATTAGCTTTACGCTTTTTTCAACCACAAAATAAGAAATAAATGGACTACCTTAAAATGAAGATGGCCTCAATGGCGCTGCCCATGATGTCACAGATGCCATAATGTCACAGATACTATCTCTATGAGCTCTACAACCAGTTTTGTGGGAGGCCTGGTCGAAGCTGTCCATGGTGCTGAAATGGACAGTGCCGATTTACAGTCAGTCTGGTGGGAGTCTAATGTAACCTGATAGATGCTGTCCATGGAACTGAAAAAGTGATGTCCTTTGCAAAGCTGATGTATATTTATTCAAAGTTAATACAGACATAGCTTTATCTAACCGTGGTCCTGAGGGTGTGTGTGAACTGATGAGGGTGTGTGAACAGAGTGAGTGAGTGTGTGTGTATGTATGTGTGTGTGTGTGTGTGTGCGCGTGTGTGTGCGCGTGCGTGGGTGGGTGGGTCCGTGCCTGCGTGCATGTGCGTCTCATTCAAATGCAGTTTTTGCTCAAACACACCTGTGTTTGGTCATGTAAAAGAATGCTGTGCGGTTTGCGTCACAGATGGAGAATGAGTGGTGATTATGTTTTCTTCTCTTGTAAAGGATTCTTTATCTCTTTTACGAGTTAGAGTTGTGTTCAGGTCACTCCAGGGCCGCATTCAGCACGGCACAATGTTGTGGAACGTTCAATTAGAAATACATTATGAGAACAGACATGCCTCTCATACAGTATATGTAGGGTAAGGAATAATGTCTGCTGTGTTCGTGACATTTCAATCTGCAACATTTAGTGTTTTTGCACACTCCTGAACATGACTAATATCATGTCACCAGTTGTTAATCACTTGCCTTTTTCACTCTTTATTGATTCTCCTCTGAATGGAACATGGCCATGCTGAAGCCATTGGAAATAGGGGCACTTAAATTCTGACCTTGGCTCTCAGCCAATGACACGGGCCGTTCGGGTCGATATCATTATTATCATCACTGTTTAGCATGCTCAAAGACTAATTTACACTACAACTCCTAGGAAGCTTTGCCAGCTTTGATCCCCTGACCTTCACTATTGTGTGGGCTTAGATAGACTGATCCACTGAACCACTAACTAAACAGTCTGATTACCAACAATGACGAGACAGCCTACAGGGAGGAGGTAAGGGCCCTGGCGAAGTGGTGCCAGGAAAATAACCTCTCCCTCAACATCAACTGAACGAAGGAGCTGATCGTGGACTTCAGGAGACAGCAGAGGGAACCCCTATCCACATCGACGGGACCGCAGTGGAGAAGGTGAAAAGCTTCAAGTTCCTCGGCGTACACATCACTGACAATCTGAAATGGTCCACCCATACAGACAGTGTGGTGAAGAAGGCGCAACAGCGCCTCTTCAACCTGAGAAGGCGGAAGAAATGTGTGTTGGCCCCTAAGACCCTCACAAACTTTTACAGATGCACAATTGTGAGCAACCTTTTGGGCTGTATCACCTCCTGGTACGGCAACTGCTCCCCCCGCAACCGCAGGGCTCTCCAGAGGGTGGTACGGTCTGCCCAACGCATCATCGGGGGCACACTGCCTGCCCTCCAGGACACCTACAGCACCCGATGTCACAGGAAGCCAAAAAGATAATCAAGGACATCAACCACCCGAGCCATGGCTTGTTCACCCTGCTATCATCCAGAAGGCGAGGTCAGTACAGGTGCATCAAAGCTGGGACTGGGAGACTGAAAAACAGCTTCTATCTCAAGGCCATCAGACTGTTAAATAGCCATCACTAGCTGGCTACCACCCGGTTACTCAACCTGAGAGGCTGCTGCCCTATGTACATAGACATGGAATCACTGGTCACTTTAATAATGGAACACTAGTCACTTTAATAATGTTTACATACTGCTTTACTCATTTCATGTATATACTTTATTCGACTGTATTTTAGTCAATGCCGTCCTTATATTTATATATTTAAGTCCATTCTTTTACTTTTAGATGTGTGTGTATTGTTGTGAATTGTTGGATACTACAGCAATGTTGGAGCTAGGAACACAAGCATTTCGCTACACCCGCAATAACATCCGCTAAATATGTGTATGTGATTTGATATTTTTTTTACCAGTCAATCCCTGTTAGGAACATTATGCGTTTTTGTGTAAAGGTTGTGTCGTCTACTGGGAGAAAGCGTGCACTTGGGGATGGGGGCCATTGATTTGTTTAAGGGAAGAGTCCATTGTCCTGTTTGGCTCAGTTGGTAGTGAATGATGCTTGTAACGCCAGGGTCATGGGTTTGATTCCCGCTGGGCCAACCAATATGAAAATGTATGCACGTACTATGGTAAATGTCATACGTTATGGGGCATGGCTGGTATCAGATAACCTTATCCTGATGATCAATTAGGAAGAGACAGCCCCCTCTACTGGTTGTATATAGGTCATAGCAGCAAGAGTAGGAGTGCTGAAGAACTGAAAGCTTTATGAATACAGGCCCAGGTGATTCCAAATACAATGTACTGAACAGTAATTAGTAGAATCATTGAATTCAAAAGAATTGTCTTCCTTAGGCTCTGATACTGTATAATTGGACATTTGAAAATAATATGGCAGCAACCCCATCTAGCCTACCTTCCTTGGGTTGCAAAATTCAAGTAACTTTCCAAAAATGTCCCAGTTTTTTCCAGAAGTCCCAGTTGGAGGATTGCCATAGGCTACTTCCTGCTTATTCCCTCCTAATACCAATCATCTTCCAACCAGGATTACGGGAAAACTGGGAAAATGTGGGAAAGTTACTGGAATCTTTACCTTCTGCTATTGTTTTCATGTTGTTTTCATAAACTCCTTTTAGGTACCAGGTAAGTATGGCAGTAGTATAAGAGGAAGGACATAAGGACAAGTAGTATGAGAGCAGTGGTGGAAAAAGTACTCAAATCTCATACTTGAGTAAAAGTAAAGATACCTTAATAGAAAATGACTCAAGTAAAAGTGAAAGTCACCCAGTAAAATACTAAAAGTATTTGGTTTTAAATATACTTAAGTATCAAAAGTAAATGTAGTTGCTAAAATATACTTAAGTATCAAAAGTAAAAGTAAAAATAATGTTAAATTCCTTATATATTTTTTACATTTATTTAGATAGCCAGGGTCACACTCCAACACACAGACATCATTTAAAAACAAAGCATTTGTGTTTAGTGAGTCCGCCAGATTAGAGGCAGTAGGGATAACCAGGGATGTTCTATTGATAAGTGTGTGAATTGGGAGTACTTTTGGGTGTCAGGGAAAATGTAAGGAGTAAAAAGTACATAATTTACTTTAGGAATGTAGTGAAGTTAAAGTAAAAGTTGTCAAAAATATAAATAGTAAAGTAAAGGACAGATACCCAAACAAACTACTTAAGTAGTACTTTAAAGTATTTTTACTTAAGTACTTTACACCACTGTTTGAGAGGAACATTGCCTCTGTATTTACCAAAATAGCTCACCTAGTTCTCCTCGAGATACTTTAATTAAATCAAAGCAATCCTAATTACAACAAATATGATTTAGTCACGTCATGGGTGGATTATGTTGACAAATGATGATTGGCATCTGGTTGTCTTTTATACAGTCATGTATCGCTCACACATATCAACGTATAAGGCTGAATCACATCGAATGGGACTTTAGTCTGCAAGATCTGTGAGAAATGGTTGAATCTCTGTTTCTGAAAAATGCCTGTAGTTCTTTCTGGAAATATGTGTACTGAAAAATCTCTCGTTATGAAGACAGGATAGATGTTATTTACTAACATTCAGAGCCATACAGAAGACCACTGAGACCTTTGTTATTGAACAGACATAGCTTAGTCTTGATGTCAAAGTAATAGTTTGCTTATTTATGATGTGTTAAAACTGAACTTCCCCTTTAAATTGTTTGAATTTACATATGGGTTTCATTTGGTTTAACTAACATGCTCTATCTTCTACCTCTCAGGTTGCCTACAAACCGTGGCTGTGTGCACAGTATTTCCCCACCACACAGAGGCATTGTGGGAGGACTGTACCGTGTCTCCAGTTCTGCCTGGAGGTTCAGCAGAGGTGTCCATTCATACTGCCAGACAATGACGATCTCATCCACGGAGGAAGCCCCAGCTTCATATGTACAGGTGGGTGTGGTGGTATGGACTGATCAATCAGTCAGTCAATCAATCAATCAAGTGTGATTTGTAGCCACATCTTATACGGGTGGGCGTATATCCACTCTAGGGCTATGCTGTTTAGCTGAGAAGCACCATGGATCTAGGATAGATGGGCTTGGGTCAATTCATTTTGAAATGTACTCAATGTAGGAATTTATTTGCATTCCTATGTCCACTGACAGGAATTTAGATGGAATTGTATATTGCAGGATATATGTAATTGTGCTCTTGTGCCCCTGATGATGCCTTGTATAATAGCTCTTCAGTGGTATCGATAAAGTTGTTTGGTTTTGAACTCTGGTACCCTAGCCAATAATTAATTATAGAACTTGTCCCTGGCAACATCTAGTGGCCATATAAGGCAGTGTCAGTCAAATCAATGACACTTCCCTCTCAGTGTAAAGTGTATTTCTGAGGCAGTGACTGTGATGGGGTACAACTCCATGGTAGTATTTTAATATTCCCGGGTTCACAGTGATCAAAACAGAACCAGCATAACATGACCTGCCCTGTCCTGATTTGATCTCAGTGGGGTGCTCTGAAAACATGTCATTTTCCTCCCCCAGCCCCCAAAGTTCGAAGGTTTTCAATACTGTAATTAGAACAGCCTTTGATATTTTTTAATTACTTGTGCGTCAGCGATTAAATGTTAGGCTTTGCCTTTTGAGATCCCTCATTTTCTCCTGCTCATTTGATGTCTTCCTTTAGTGTGCACTGGCAGTTGCTTTGAAGAGAGATTACACAAGGCGTGACATCAGTGGTGTAGATTATATTTACCGTGCTGCAGTATGGGGTCGTTACAAAATGTCACTTGCGTATTTTTTTTCATTTTGAGTTCAGTAAAGGGTCATTATTGTTAGGTTATGATATAACATATGACATAATGATACTGATAGTTGAATAATATGAAGACTGGTTTAAATGTGCATACTGACTGGTATTTATGTTCTTATGCACATGGTAATCTGTCTTTTGTGATAAACTTCAACAAAACACTGCATTACCACACTGCAAGTAAGGCTGGAACTAGGCTGGGTCATTTATTTAGCTTATTGTGGGTCATCTGAATGAATGAACACACTTTATTGGTATTGGGGAAATTGGGTTTGTCATCATCCTCAGACACAGGATGATACAAACACAAATGGATACATGAGAGGGATGCACAGAGACATGAGCATCTATGGCTTATATCAGTGTTTACCCACTACTCTGTTCGTCCCTCACAGGGCTACTAGGGAGCCATGGGCAGCCTAACAGCCAGGCAGAGTGCTGCGACGTCCGTTGGGACTCTAAACCGGACAACCGTTCCCGTGGGACACTGAAAAGGACTCCAACTCCCTCCTGCCATCACCAAGAGGGGGTGTCGACATCAGTCACCTCGGCCGCCACACCCACCAGACTGTGCAGCAGCAGCGGCCGGCTGAAGCTATGCCTGCTGGTCTTCGTTCTCCTGCACACCGTAGTCACCATCACCACCACCTCCCACAATTCCACTGGGGTCGTCGGCATGGCGGCCATTTTCCCCCTGGAGGAAAGCTCCCCCAGCGAGGAATGATGGGACAAAATTTGCAAGAAAACTCTGGGTTTTATCTGGGAATGAGTGAGTTGCAAAACCGGTTCTGACCAGTTCTGACTGCTGTGTCTCCGTTCAGTGACAACCCTGGAAGGTCACTGGTATGTGCTGTCGAAGCCTCATTGGGTCACAGGAAGTGAGAGCGGCGATGACGTGGGAGGGGCTAACACACCTCAGACCAAAGGATCAACATCATATCACCGTGTCAATCTAAACCTGAGTTCACCGTTTCAGTCTCTTGTTTCATCAGAATGTACTATATCGTTTCCTCTCTCCTCCTTGTTCACTTTTTTGTGGAGTTTGTTGGAATGTAAATGGGTTGTCTTAGAACATATAAGAGGCAGAGAATTTTGAAAAAGTTATCACCAACCTGTGTGTTTCTATCCACCCCTCTCTTCACCAGTAACATTTAGCTGCTTTTGAGGTGCCAGACTGGATATGGTAACAACACTCTTGACTCAAACACTCACACACAGAGTGGTGGAGACATTGAAGAGATCAGTCATAACAGGGTTCTCTCATGGCAGTACATATGACTCTAATACAGAGCCAGTGAAGAGCAGGTGTAGAATACCTTTTCACACAATTTTGCCGACCTGAACCGTATTGTGCTCGCTTGGATTATTTTATTTACACGGTTGCATGGTTCCAGCAAATATGCTGAATGTGTAACCGGGCCAGTGCAGTACAGTACAGCTCAGCTCAGCTTGTCTTAGCTTGGCTCAGTAGTGTGAATAGAGTAGCAGTGGAGGTCTTGTCACTTGGATTCAAAACTATCCCACCAATGGGCTTCAGTGTACCTCAGAGTTCATGTTATTTGAGCCAATAAGTTTCTCTCTCATTATCCTGTGTCCATGTGTTTGTATGTGATGGGCCCAAAGGGGACGTCGGATCAGCGAACCTCAATTTACCTCAAATCAAGTGACCTGTTGGCTTAGATAGACTCTGTTTTTCTAAAGCAGTACATCCCAGAACTGTATGTTTGGCTTTTATATTTGACTCATATATTTCTCAATATAAGGCTCTGGTACATCATACCAGTACATTACAGCCAATTCTCTTCACACAGTGGGAGAGGTGTCACAAGGTGAGACACAGGAACAAATCGAAACAAAATACATCTCCTACTGAGTCATTTTTCTATGTGAAAGTGCTAGTTGAGCAGCATTGAAAAGATCAACAAATAGTATTCGTTCTCTTTGAAATACTTTAGCTGCACTCGATTGAGCTTGCCTTGGCGCAATGTAACCAATGTGATAGTCCCAAAAGTATAACTGAAAACCCTGCCCATCTGGCATCTCCAGACAGGCTCAATGAAATGCTCAACACATTTGACAGAAAACGGACACAATTTGAACCCAGGTCGGATCATACATACCCTCTCCTCTTTGTCTCTATTTGACCTTAATATCATCGTGACCAAGATAATCACCTTGTATCTTTACACAGAGCTAAGGCCTTAGCTAGTAGGTGTTTGTGTGAGGGGAAGGCGGTCTCAAGGGCTGTCTCTACATACTGTATTTCCTTCCGTTGGTGTGACTGCTGCTAACCGGTACTCATTGATACGGCACATAGGGGAAGAAATCTGATAGGCTCCTTACATCCCTGTCTTATCCTTCCTGTTCAACTGAGTAGTGCATATGATGGCACCTTTGTTCTTCTACGCGTACATATAATCAGTACTGCCGGAATTACTCTGAAGTCAACCATATTCGGGCATGCAGACATGAGGAGTAGGGTGAAATTGCCCCAAGATGCTGATCTTGGGTCAGTTTAGCATTTTACCCACTAATGGTTAGGTGTTAGAATTGGTGGAAAAACTGATCCTAGATCTTTACCTAGGGAAAACTTCACCCCAGAGCTCACACTGAAAGACTATGTGCTTTAGTCTTCTCACATTATACTGTTTCCCCCTTAGGTTCTTGTTACAGTTGATATTCTCACAGACACTCATCGAGGTGAACTGTTCTTTGTAACCATCAATCAACAACATTACTTTATTGTTTCCCTCATATTCCCATATTTACTTTATTCCCCCAAAAGACAGCAGAGGATGTAACCCCCTCTATGTAGAAATAACCTCCCACAACCTTCCCCAAATATTCATGATCTGAACCTTGTGGATCTATGCAGATGTCCTACCCCTGTCTGGCCCAGTACATACTCAAGTTGCACAACTGATGTACAACACATTTGGCACAGTGGTTGTGATACAACTGATGTTTTTGTGATTCAACAGAGAGTTTGTCTGCACAATGGTTGTGTAATTATTTTTGTGAGAAAATGACAAATGTTATGCCATATGCATTGTACTTCAGTTGTACAACGGAGTGTTTACTGGGCCTATCTCTGTTGTAAATATGTCCTAGAGAAGTGAGATATTCAAGATGTCCGCCTCTTGGAGATTTTTCATTTTTTCTTTTTAGGGTTAGCTTCTTGTGTTTGTTTTTCTTGTTTTTGGTTGCATTTTATGTTAATGGTCCCACTTCAAACAAACTACAAGCATCTACAGTATGTAGTGCTTATGAAGACTTTATGTATGCTTTATAAAGCCTTTTTAAGTTGACCTTTGTTTAAAGTGGGACAATGTTAAGAACTGTCTACAGCATTGTAAGTCAGATCAGTAGGAGAGGGAGGATTGGGAAAAGGTGTGATAGGTGTGTGCAAGGAAAATAATAAAGGAAAAGGTGGGAATTATGATGAAAATTGTAAAAAAATATACACAGATACCTTATTTATCTTACTATTGTCATATTGTCATACGATAGATGCTTTAGTTTGCAATTATCTTTTCTTTTTCTACAAAAGAGTTTGATTAAATAATTTATAATGCGTCTCGGAAGTCATCATCTTTTTTGAACGTAAGAGAACTACAGCTACATTTATTAAAATTTTGTTCAAAATAAAATACAAATTATGTTAAATATGATTGATGTCTGCTTTCTTTTGGATTGTATTTTAATTTGTACTACTGACCACGGTTACCTGACTGTAGGCCTATAACCAGACCAATTGAATTTGGCCAACATTCTGTGGTAAGTGGGCAATCTGGGATTCAAACAACAACAAAGCGTTCACCCGGCACTTTTCACCCGGCACTTTTTTGGTAAACAGCTAAACTTCCAGGGCCAGTTTTACTCTGCATTTGCACCAGGTGCAAAGTTTTGCAGCTTTTTTTCAGTAAGGGATAAAACATCCAAATTTAAGCTAAAACATAAAACTGTCTTAATTTATACTTCACCTTATGTTTTATTATTTCTCTTCTTTATTTTATCTCTTTGATTGGGTCTTCACTGTTTAATTCCGTTTGGATGTTTTATTTAAAAACTGCATCAATCTGGTGCAAACCTTTAGTAAATCTGGGCCCCAGATTGTGGACGTGTTTGAGTGGTATGGTTTAAGAAACCGACTAGACGAAAGTCGAGGAGTGAAGTCAGGGGAGGTGCATCTGCCACAGCCGAAAGTCAGACACTAATGTGGTTTTCCAACAGCAAGGCTCAGATCAACATGACAGTGTTGCCGTTGTTTATAAAAGGTTTTCTTTATAATGTCGAAAAAAAGTCACCCACTCACAAACTGAAATCATATGTGCATACATTATGAAATCATTTAGTGAGAGAGAGCCTCAATCACTTGCATTTATTCACTGTAGGCTACACAGTCTGCATCAGATTCCTATATCATATGATGTGATTAGCTGAAATGTTAAACACTTATCCAGCCGTTGTGAGATCTGGCAGGCATCTGCAATGTAGTCAACGTAGAATGCAGCCAATATTTGTACATTTATCCTAGGAAAAACACAGTCACAATATCCTCACCGGCATTGCAGGTGTGAAGCCACTAGAGGAGTGTGACTCCTGAGTCATAACTTTGCAGCACACATACTGATACCCACATGTAGTAAGCAGTAATGCTCTCCTGCACCACAAGATGTCATTACATAGCCACTATACAGCCAGTGCTCCATCCAGTGTGGACATTGGTAGTCCTAAAAGTATAGCTAATAGGCTCATTTTCTGACAATGTATCCCCAGGAATTTGATATACCCCTGGTAGCATTTGCTAATCATAATGTACTGTTTATGCTTAATAGTTATATGTATAAACAGTTTAGAGGTTTAAGGGCTACATGCCTTGCTCAAGGGCACGACAGCAGGAGATGGCATTAAGACAATGATGCCAGCAACCCTCCAGTTGCCAGCCCACTCCTGATCAGATTTGTCAGTGTCAGACATTGGATTTGCGTAACCTGTAGGCCAGTGGTTCCCAAGCAGGGGTACTAGGACCTATGGGGGTACTTCGTCTATCCACAGGGGGCATTTGAGAAGACTCATGAGACCATAGGCTTGCTGGTAAAATATTCATGAGGGGGTACTTCAGGGGGACTCTGGGCAGAGCAAAATTTAGTTGGTGGTACAGTAACTGAAAAAGGATGGGAACCACTGCTCTAGGCTACCTGCCAACCCCAATGACTAATGTATAATAATGTCATGTAATGTATAATATCATGTAAATTATAATATCATGCCTTCTGTATGGAGAGTCATCCCTATGAGTAAGTTATCTAATCGGTAACACTATAACACTAATTAGTCACATCAGAGTGTGAAACCAAAGGTGTTGGTTGGGAGAACAGGCTGTGTAAAAGTACTAGTCTGGTGTCAGTTGCTGCTCTCATCTATGGTGAAGTTACACTGCAAACATTGTGTTAAAATTCTGTCTGTGCTGTTTTTTGTCTGCCTTGATGCAATGACAAGCCAATGGGAGTGTAACAGTTCCGTATCACGTCCATGAATAATTGTGTGGCTGATGTACTGTAGCAGCTTTGCTAGGTGAAGATGGCTAGCGATAGGCTGAAGTCCCGTTTATACGTAGTTCTAACATGCGTCCTTTGTCCTGATCTTATCCACATTCTGATTGTTCCCACATTTTTTGACAAATGTAGATGATTAAAAGACGCATTTTGATCCAATTGTGATCAGATCTTCCTTATCAGATGAACTTCTGGAGGTAGTCAGGAACGCATTGTGGCTGAATAACTTACAAGTGTAGACAGATCTGGACAGTGAAACCATTTAAATAATCATTATCCTGCCCAGTAAAATCATTGACAGGTGGTACCATTTAGCCTTGCGAGCCAGCCTGATCTTGCGAGCTTATCATTTATCTTCGCTAACAAATCATTTATGTAAGCTCGCGAAATCAAGCTGGCTCGCGAGGCTAGGCAACATTGACTCATACCACCAATATGTGTCTTAAAATAAATAAATAAATAAATATTATTTAGAAAGAATAGCTGTGAAATAATTTGCATAGAGGGATGGACCAGGTAGTATGGTCACAATGCGGACACAGTGGACAGATAACCCTGCCTGGGTTGTGGGATCTTGTTTGTGTTCCTGTTTGGCTTGTTTCGTGTATAGCCCATAGGACTTCACGGTTTCGTTGATTTTGTTATTTTGTCTAGTGTTTATCCTTTTTAATAAACATGTACGCATACCACGCTGCACCTTGGTCAGACCCGTTCCTCAACGATCGTGACAGAAGATTCCACCACCAACGGACCAAGCAGCATGCCCAGGAGCAGCAGACACCCTGGACACAGGTGGAGGAGCA